TATCATGTGGATATTTGTAACATGTTTAAAAAGTGCACCAAATATCATGTGGATATTTGTAACATGTTTAAAAAGTGCACCAAATATCATGTGGATATTTGTAACGTTTAAAAAGTTCACCAAACATTATGTGGATATTTTTAAACATGTTTAAAAAGTGCACCAAACATTATGTGGATATTTTTAACATGTTTAAAAAGTGCACCAAACATTATGTGGATATTTTTAACATGTTTAAAAAGTGCACCAAACATTATGTGGATATTTTTACATGCTTAAAAAGTGCTCCAAGCATTATGTGGATATTTTTACATGTTTAAAAAGTGCACCAAGCATTATGTGGATATTTGTAACATGTTTAAAAAGTGCGGGGAATGCCTTCTTTTTAACCAATGAAAATGTCCAAAAAATTTCAGTTAAAATTAAGAACAACCGGATTAGTTAGTTCTTTGTTGTTTTTTTCACACACACACATACACAAAAATAATTTCTTATCTAGACATGTAATAAAATAATTCTTTTCGTAAAAATACCCAAGGTCCTTGACTTTTAAATTTTTTCTTATAATAGATTTTACTGAACTTCTAGGGAAAATTTGTATTTGAAGTGGGATTTTCACAACTATATTTTTGTCATTAACAGTCTCAATGGTTAATTGTTTATATGTAAAAATAACCACTACAGCCCGCAATTATAAATCGTTTATTTTCAGGTAAATACCTAAGGCTTTGTATTTTGGAAAAAAATTTTTTGTATCATAGGTTTTCGTTTATTCAAGGGAATTATACATACGATATGGGCTTTTCAAAAGCATTTTGACCCCCAGTGACACAGCGGTATGTCTGCGGACTTACAACGCTAGAAACCGGTTTCGATACCCGTGGTGGGCAGAGTACAGATAGCCCTTGTGTAGCTTTGTGCATAATTAAAAACAACAACAAAAGCATTTTATTGTCAAAATTCTCGTATTTAAACTTTAAGAATTTTATAAACATTTTGCCCATCTTCGAAAGAGTTTTATTTTTGCAGAAGAGATAAAAAGTGCCAGGAATTATCGATATATTTTAACCAAATTCTTTAGATAATTTCGCGTTTATTTATCGAACTATTATCATCTTTTGCTTATTCAAACTATCAACATAAAGATGCATGCCATACAATCTTAGGAAAATATTATATTGTTACGACAGCAAAAGTCACGTGACGCTGATGAATTTCTCGAATGGTCGGGGAAGTCCGAATGTGTTCGAGATACCCTCTTCGTTAGTTTTAAGCCTGGCAGTGGGGACGATGAATGAAGAGAGAGCAGTAATTACTTTGAGTTCCGTGTAATTTATGATTCTGTTAGTTTCGAGCTAGTCTGTCGTAAAGTGTGTGTTTTGCACTCGTAGAGAGCGAAGATATCGAGATTGTGAATCGTTGTAATTTATAGCGTGTATTATAAAAGTTGGTAAGTTTAAAGTGACGAGAAACGTACTGATTGTGGAACTACCGTGTACTAAAAGTTTGTATCGAGGAAGAATAAACTGGTTTAATCAAGAAAGGACTTGTATCGCTGAAAAATCTCGGAAAGAATTTCTGCTGGAAACATACAAACAAGCAGATACGTAACAGTATTTATATTTTATTGTTGTTCAGTTTTTTAGGCCATCTGAAATCAGAACTTACTGCTGCATTGAAATATATGTTTATCTCGATATCTTAAAGAAATAATTATTTTCGTAAAAATACCCAAAGCTATTATAGCCTTTGATTTTTTGAAAAATTTTTGTATCATATATTTTGATGTTCTTCTATGGAAAACTTGTGATCTTTTCAAAGCTATACTTTTTTCTTCAGTAGTCCCTATGGTTAATTTATTGTATATTAAAATATCCAACACAGTCCCGATTTAAAAAATTGTTTGCTTTTCCAGAAAGTACCTAAGGCCTTTATATTTTAGAAAGAAATGTTTGTATCATAGGTTTTTGTTTTCTCCAAAAGAACTTATACGTTTGATACGGGCTTTACAAAAATAGAACTATATTATCAAATGTAACGAATTTATTATTGTGTATGAACGTTGTTTGGATTGATTTGTATTTAGAAATATGCGTGACTTCTAGTATCAGGTATGTGTTGCGTATAACGAATTTGTTATATATTTATTTTAATGTCAAAGTTTGTTTCAAACAAGTTTACATTTGAGGGCGTTTTTATTTTACCGTGTTAGTTACGTATGGCGAAACTCCCGCCAATACTCCAATTGTTTTTCCTCATATTTCAATACAAAGATGCTCTCGATGTAAGACTTTCAAAATGGATATCCTTTCATGAAAATTCCCAATAGTTATTTCATAATCTGTGATCAAAATTTCGGCTAGCTTCGATTTCACTGTTTTTTGTCTTCAGTTATATATGGACCCGGCATGGCCAGGTGGTTAGGACGCTCGACTCGCAATCTGCGGGTAGCGGGTTCGCATCCCCGTCCTACCAAACATGCTCGCCCTTTCAGCCGTGGGGGCGTTATAATGGGACGGTCAATCCCACTATTCGTTGGTAAAACAGTAGCCCAAGAGTTGGCGGTGGGTGGTGATGACTAGCTGCCTTCTCTCTAGTCTTACACTGCTAAATTAGGGACATTAATGCAGTAATGTCTGAATTTTCAGATCTTCGACGAAATAAGCACTATCCGATATTTTTCTATTAATATTGCGACAAAAAAACACTTTTTTCCATTTTCCAAAAAAATTCATATTTTCACCAAAAAGCCCATGTTTTTCCCTAAATTTTCAAAAAAATTGTTTTTTCTCATATTTAGTTACAAAGATGCTCTCGATGTAAGACTTTCAAAATGGATATCCTTTCATTAAAATTCCCAATAGTTATTTCATAATCTGTTATGCAAATTTCGGCTACTTTTGATTTTACTGTTTTTGTTTAGAGTTATATTGTACTCATAGAATAGCTTTAAAATTAAGATTATTCATACAAAATCCCAACATCTAAAAGGCCATGACGTCTTCTTATAAAATAAACTCTACATTTTGGATTAATTTTACTCTGAGTTAGCGAAAGTTCAAATATTTTTTAGCTTTTCACGGGACATAATATTTTTCTTTAATGCAATAATGTCTGATTTTTCAGATCTTCGACGAAATAAGCACTATCTGATATTTTTCTATTAATATTGCGACAAAAAAACACTTTTTTCCATTTTCCAAAAAAATTCATATTTTCACCAAAAAGCC